GAAGTTAAGCTATTCTGCAGGTAGGACAGGGTTAGGTTGCACTGGACTGTAGGAAGGATCGGTATGCTTGGAGCTGTTGTGAGGGTATTAGCCCTGCAAACGTGAGGAAAAAGGGGTAATTGCTCACTGGCTGTGGGAGGCTTTTCCCACTTACTGGCCTTCAGCAATAGGAGCTCTAGTAGAGTAGGCCTTTTGTATGACTTTCTGGAGGAACCTAGTTCAAATGCCAGAGTTGGCAGACTGTAATCGTAGGTTAACATTGTCCTTTCCTTACATGGCTTGAGCTCTTATTTCAGACTTACACTGCTAAACATCTTCAGAAATGGGAATCTAAGCTCTCTTCTTTACACACGTGAGACCTTTCCCAGTTGAGTTTGAAGTGCTTTGGGACTACAATCGCTGAGCAGAAGACTGAGGTGGAGGATGGTTAAAAAGCAGGCTCTGATTTCAGTTATTTTAGTAACCAGCCCTCTCTGCTCTGCTGTGAGGGCTGTTCACTAAATCCTTTCTTCTGCCTCCACCCATCATAAATAAGTTCTTTCAAAGTTCACAGGTAATTAAAACAGCTCAGCTTAATGTAGATATAGCCTCTGGAGACCTAGTGAGGCACCTTGATAGCACAGTCCCTGTTGGAGCCCAAGCCTGCTTTGCAGGGTGCTCGCTCATAGCGTTGCCAGCTTATGCTTGGGCCTCAGTGCCGACTGACTGAGGCAGTTCTGCAGAGCTGATGTAGAAGGTGCTTTCCGCAGGGAGTCATTGCCATTCCCCCACTTCCTTGTGGTGACAGACCATGAACAGTGAGACTAATCTCAAAATTGGAATGCGTCAGAAGGCTGTAACTAATAAAGGTGTGGGAACTGTCAAGTTGTAGCACATTAAGCAATGCATTCTTATGGACCTAAATCAGAACACAAGCCAGGTCCTACAACTTCAGCAAGATCATGCTGCTGAACTCAGAGCGGAGATAGGCCTTGCAGTTGTAGCTATGTGCATAACCATGGTCCATGTAAATTGTGTAGCTTATTTATTGGTAGCTTGGATGAGGTGGGACAGGACAACCAGTGCTGGTGTGTGCTGTGAATGCATGAGGAGAACATCAGTTGTTTTCTATTTTCTTATACTAAAGCTGCTGGCGGGGAAAGGGCTGTCATTTTGTGCTATGTCTGAATGGCATCTGACCTCTGGGATCCTGGCCTGTGACCAAAGCATGTAGGCACCAAACAAATAATACATAATAATAACACACAGCATTGGCATAAGGTCTTCTGGCAAAATGTAGCTAATGTGGACTCAAGCTTAATGGCTAGATTTTCAGCACTGCACAGTACTGAATAAGCTTGGGGAATTTTCAGCTGTGAGTCGGACACAACCCCTTGCAGGAACCAGTTCTTAGGGAAACAAATATGTAGCTGTGTGATTTAATTAAAAAAAGAATCTTTTTCAAAAGTGGGAACCTTGATCATTCCACAGAGAAATCTAGTATGTACTTAATAAAAGCATATGCTTTAGTCTCATAGATTTATCAAGAGCATTGCTGAAATGGGTCTGCCAGCTCTAAAAGAAAAAAAAATCACTTTCTAAAAGTCCTTAGCACCCACCAGCTACTATGAGTTTGACTGATGAGTATTTAACAGCTTTGAAAATCCAGTTACTTCACGTCCAGAATGTGAACGCTGGAATCTGACATTAAGCTCTTTCTTTTGAAAATTATGGCCAAAGAATATCTGAAGCTTTATTTAAATTTATAAGTGTGTGTGTGTCTATAAATACATATAATTTTTAATGGATTTTGAGTTACCCAGAGCAGAATCAAAAATCGCTGAGAAATAAAAATCACTGTAATGTAAATGTATTCAACATTTAATCCTGATAAGCCCTGGATTATAGACTTCAGAACACTGACAATTATTGGAAATCATGTGGTCATCTCAAGTATATAGTATTTCAATTAAAAGAAAACCATAAAATCCTTTTCCTTTTTTTGAAAAATACCATCTAACATATAATTTATTTGGATGAACTCTGCAACTCTATACATTATATCATGCTAGAAGAACTTCAGAACCACTTTTTTCTTGTTCCCAGGGACTCTCAACTGTTGGTAAGATATTACAGTCATAATGATAGAATCGGTTTACAGTTGCGAGTTCTGCCAGATATCTCACAATTATATTTTGCAAACAGCACTGCCTCTGTTTCTCAGAGATAATAATCTGATGTTTTGTTTATGTGGCACTAAAGGAAAATATTGTTTTAGAACTGTGGTAGAATTTCAAAAAGTTTGTGTGGTACTCTAAACTTCTGATACATTTAATAGTTACCGCTCCATTAAATACAGAATACCATGGACTTTAAAAGTATCCCTCAAAAAAAGAAAAAAAAAAAAAAGCCTCTGTTAAATTAAATAGGCTATGTCCATTCTAGTTGCTCAGCATTTATCCAGATCGACATAGCAGCCAATGTGGATATGTGTACAATACTTTTCATGTCTAATAGAGTCAAACATACAGATGAGTTGCCAGAAAGGCTGCTCACCTGTAGAGGGTTTAGGATTATGGGACTGTGTTTAGGTTGTAATTTAAAACATACAGCACAAAAAAAGAAACATGCTACATCAGACTTTAGCTACTTAGAAACCTACTGGCAGCAACAGAGCATGACTTGACACTTTCTCAGGCAATTTGGGAAGAGAAACAGCATAAGTTTGACAATTCCTTGGATGATCCTGGGAAGGAAAAGGAAGGGGCAGTGGGTTCAGACTGAAGCCCTACCCTACTGTGAGACAGTCTGTTTCCACTCTGTATCCTGTGGTACAAACCATACCTGATATGGCCTAAACCTTTTGGGGGAAGTCTGGCAGGAATTTGTTCTGGTGGCTGGCAACTGCACAAGAACAGGGGTAGAGCCGACAGAGCCTATACCAATAGTGGACTTGGGTGCCCTGACACAGCTGGCACCCACAGGCAGACTGTCAGCAGGCTCAGCTGACATGTCCTATGTCTCCTTGCCTCCCCAACTGCTCCAGGCACAGCAGTGCCCCAGGGGGTTGCAGTCTGGGAGCTCTTTTCTGAGTTTAGGAGACAGCCTTTGCTTTGGCTCTTTCTCCAGCTGGCTGGATAGGGAGGACAGGAGGCATTGATGGGTTGCTGCAGGGACAGCAGACAGGGCACAACCTGGGAGGGAAGGGCAAGGTGGCTCAGGGGATCACTGGCCTGGGGGAAAGGGTTGTCCTCTCCCTGAGCAAGGGGCCAGACCCCAGGCCTTTGTCTCAACAATGGCAGCAAAATTCCCTTGTCACCACAAGCCTTGTGGTCACTGAGGCCAGCTCTACCTTGACACTGGCTACCCCAGGTGGCTTGGGGAGCCTCCTCTGAAGCTTCCTGCAGGAGAAGAGCACCAGTGGCAGTCCTATCCCCTCCGTGGCCTCTCTCTCTGGGACCAGCTCCTTTGTTGGGACTTTTTGGGTGAGGGGAGAGGAGCAGAGATGCAGTAGGAAGCCTGGCAGTAACCATTCCAGGAGAAGCATCTGTCATGGGAGAGGGCAGGGATTGTGGGGCCCTTGATTTAAGCTTGAGATGAAGACCCAAAAGCAGTTTTTGAGAGTAGGCAGAGCCATGGCAGTGGTCATGGCAAGGATGGTCACCTCCACCAACTCCAGAGGCAGATGGGACATCATCCTTAGAGAGGGCCAGGGAGCAGACGAGGAGAGAGGGGCTGTGGGTCTCCCTCTGCAAAACAGGCTTCTTCCTGATCTTCATCCTTTGACGTTTTCCACCAGTCATGTAAGAGCTGTTCATACTGAGGCAGCAAAGCCCCCAAACGTTTATCTGAGGTTGTCATTGATGATGAGAACTGGAATGGCCAGGAGAGAGACTTGGGAAGAGGGGAGGCAACTGCATATAGGACTATACTGCCTCTCTCTCCTGCTCCGTGAAGCCCTGCCTGTGCTCCATTTGGGGGAAAGAGCTGTTGGAGAAAAGAACTGGAAATGAGGGAAGGACAGTGTTAAGATGTGGAAGGGTGTAGCTGGGAAGAATAGAAAGAAGGGGAGATTGCAAACTCTTCTGACTACTGAAAGGCTGGAGGGTGATGACACTGGAACTTGTTTGAGGTTGGACCAGGTCAAGATTAAAAGAGAAGGTAAAATACATGACTACAATGAACAAGTCATAGGGGAGGTGCTCAAACAGGGTCACCTAAAGCGCATTGCACAGGATTGTGTCCAGGCAGCTTCTGAATATCTCCAAGGAAGGAAACTCCACAACCTCTCCGGGCAACCTGTTCCTGTCACCCTCACAGGAAAGAGGTTTTTCCTCATGTTCAGACAGACCTTCCTGTGTTGCAGTTTGTGCCCGTTGCCTCTTGTCCTGTCGCTGGGCACCACAGAGAAGAGCCTGGCCCCATCCTCTTGACACCTTCCCTTCAGACACTTATACACACTGATCGGATCCCCCCTGAGCCTTCTCTTCTCCAGGCTGAACAGGCCCAGCTCTCTCAGCCTTTCTTCAGAGGAGAGATGCTCCAGTCCCTTCATCCTCTTCGTAGCCCTGCACTGGACTCGCTCCAGGAGCTCCATGTCTCTCTTGTCCTGGGGAGCCCAGAACTGGACTCAGTGCTCCAGGTGAGGCCTCAGACCTTGCTGAGGTTGCACCCTGTCCCTTCATTCAGGTCATGGATGAATAAGTTAAACAAGATTGGACCCAGTACTGACCCCTGGGGGACACCGCTAGCTACAGGCCTCCAACTAGACTCTGCGCCACTGATCACAACCCCCTGAGCTGTGCCATTCCGCCAGTTTTCAATCCACCTCACCGTCCACTCATCCACTTCCTGAGCTTGCCTATGAGGATGTTATGGGATGTTATGTCATGTTTAGTCATGCAAGACTGTGTAACTGCTCATAACTAAAGCTAAACTGATTTTTATGCTGCCATCTAGTGTTTCCACAGGGATAGGAACAACATCCAACAAAAAAGGAATTTTTGCAAGCTCCATAATGCTCTGTTGAGAAAAAATGTAATTTATTCATTGCTGAAATACAAGGCTGGACAACACAGAAGCTGAGTGGGAAGGAAAGGGGAAGAGACTTGCAGAGGATCCAAAGCTCAGGCTGAACGTTTAGTGAGACACCATCTTTTTAATTTGTACCTATTTCATCCAGGAACAAAGACATCTCCAATGCAACATAATTATTCAGAACCAGAATTTGTCCCCACTTATTTGTTTGTTTTGTGAAATTAATATGGATGCTTGCAAGGTGCAGTAGTACACAACAGAGCAAGAATCCAAGCAGAAGCTTGTCTTAACCAAGAGGCCAGGAAATGAAGTTTGGCAAGTTCTTATTTGTCCTTTCTACTCTCATAAAAGACAAATGCTGTGTTTACTTCACAGCCATCAGATGCCGGTATTTCTTTCAAGTATACATAAAGGCTAACAAGATGTAACAAGATGCTGCTGGGGGTTCATGCAAAGGATCTGACTCTTAGCCCTTCAGAACTTGACTATATCCAAATACTTTTCCAGCTGTTACACAGCCTGGATTCATGCTGGAACTGTAGAACTCTGGTTAACCCTATTAATAAATGGGGCAAACAGAGCACTTGTTTTTTTCATCAAGCTTCTTTAAGGGGATTTGAGTCAAAGTCCAATCAAACAGGAAGCACCCATAATCACTAGTCTCTTTTGAGACCCTGACTTCTGAGCTTCGCGTCCTGACAACCTGAGCAGAAGGGCTGCCAGGAAGAAGTCTTCTGGCTAAGACCGCACAACTGGGAAGTGGCAGAATCAGCTAGTTTAAGAAAATAAACCAGCTGCAGGAAAATGAAAGCTCTAATGAGCAACCTTCAAAGCGCTCCTGCTGGAGTTCTACGGAATCAGGTATATATTTAGTCATTTGCAGGAAAGTTTTCCTATCTATAATAAAATTTTAGTACCAGCAGAATACACATGTATTTGAACTTAATGTATAAAAGTTGACAGCACGTTCTCAGTCGTAACATGACTTGTTTGGATGAAGGGGAACATTAGCACAAGCTCCTCAACAGAAAGGACAGTGTACTTCTTCTCTACTTACAAATTACCACTCAAGTCAAGACCACGTGACAGTTGTCACAGGCAGGCTTGTAGGTATTTCAAGGACCTAGTCCACAGAAGTCATGGCTCACCAAAATCGGAGGTGAACTGAGATATTCATTTCTGACTGACCGCTGCTTTGGCTCCCTGGAGAGGTGAGTGAGGACTGTGTGGTTAGGTGATACACCAAAGACCTTCTCGTTGAGAGAGGGCAGCTGCTGAAATCAGCACAGAGCTTGTAAAGAGCTCTCAGTGGGGCTTGGGTCAGTCTCCGCTCTCCAGGCCTCTGACAGTCATTTCAAGTGGGTCAACATTTCTTTTTGCTTTCAAATTCTTTCCTGGTAAAAATGGACTTTTTTTAAAAATATAGTTTCCTGGGTTTTGAGGAAAACCCAGAAAACCCGCCACATCCACGCAACTTCATTTCTCTTCTTCCCCCCCCTCTTCCAATGATAGATAAAACATGTTAATGGGAAACTCACACAGCTCCCAACATTGGGTGGAATTTTTTTTTAGTCAAAAGACAAAAGTACAGGTTTGGTGGTTCTTATCTTTTCAGTTTGGGGGATAGAGAGCTTGCTCCATTATAGTCTTCAGGCAAGCTAAATAAATAGGAAGGACACCAACTTCAGTCCAATGTTCGTCCCATGATTCTCTACAACATTTCCCTGGTACCAGGCATGGCAGCCTCCCGAATAAGCAGAGTCAAAACTTTCCTGTAGGTGTCTAAGACCTCTTGGGCAGAAGGCCTTTCAGCTGGGTCCTTCTTCTTACATGCTGCATGGATGTCAAACAAATGCAGTCGCACAATGTCACTCCCTTCTACATGGCCCAAGAAAAAATTGGAGACATCGGGGATTTTCCATATGTCTGTTTTCTCATCATAGGGGGGCATGAGATCATCATCAAATGGCACCTCTTCTCCGTGGGGCCAACGCTGCTCAGGCGCTACAAACTCACCCTGGAGCTCCCGATGACCGCACTTCACCAGGACGCCAGCACTCCTGTTCACAAGCGGCAAAGCGTCCAAATCATTCACCAGGATGCGAAAGTCACTTGTGAGGAGATACTGAGAGAGCACCTTGTCCAGGTCATTAGAGTCACACATCACTAAGGTGCCCAAGGGACTGCTGTGCAGGAAACGAATGATGCTCACGTAGTCTATAGCAAGCGTGAACCTGCGATGCCAGGTGTTCAAGCCCTTGTACTTAGGCATGTGCAGAGTTTCATTCAGGCCCCTCAGGGAGCCTAGAGGATGGTACTCGGTGAGTATTGTGAACTGCTTCTCACAGTAGCCAAGCAGGCGGACAACGTGCTTGCTTTGTAGTGCTTTCAGCATCTTCAGTCCGTGGAGAAAGTCCTCCTGCAGCTCTGAGTTGGTGAGCTGTGAAAGGACCACTTTGTTTTCCTTCCACTCAGAAAGAAAGACCTGAGAACATGCAAGAGACGCCTAAGACATGTGGAGCCTTCTCCAATTACAGTTACTGGGCACAGTCCTGTGTTAACACATGACAGCATTACGACAGCATGAAGCCTTTAGGTAGGCCCCACATACCTGGGCTTACAGATGTTGTAATTACAGCATGCAGTAGATCACAATTTCTTCAGTTTTTCTTTGGAATGGGCACTACAGATGGATTAAATGATCAAAGGATTTCATCCCACCCAGTTTGTATCAGCCAGTCTTTATCTGTCATGATTGCATCACGCCCCACAAGCACTTCACCCAGCCCAGTGATTTTGCTGGCATAGCTGGATGCCATTGGGTGCAAGCGAGGTAGAAATTGGCCCCAGGACCCGCTGTCCTACCTCTTTGGCATAGCTTACCAGTAGCCATAGTCCTCTGGATGTCTACAGCAACTAGCTGCTGTGGGGATCTTAACAGCAGTATAGACATTAATCAGCCAGCTAATATTGCAAGCTGTTATGCTTACGAGTTTTTCCACGGGGTGGGGAAAGAAAGGAAAACCAAACTCACCTTTTTCACAGCTCCTTCACCAACACATTTGAGTTTCCTTACTTCCTTATTTATGGCTTCACAGGACAGCCATGGGGAGCAATTTTTCGCCGTTCCTAATTTGAAGTACCCAAAAGGGCAGAGGCTGGGGTCCGTATCAGCACGTCCAGAAGAGCCGTAAAAATTGTTGAGGTACAGATAGAGAAGGCCATTAAGGAGCAGGACGGTCACAAGCAGCAGCCCCAGCAAGACCAAAGGTACCTCCCTTTGCAGAAACTCTCTTTTAATGAAGTGCGATTTCTTTTCCATGGCACTGCCTTCTACATTCTCTGTAAAAGACACATAGGCAAGAGTTAGCAGGAGAAGTCTTTCTGGGCAGGAGATGCCCAGGGATGGATGTCTGCGGGGCTTTTCCATTGCAGGCTATACCATTGCCTTGCAGACACCATAACCTCGAGCGGAGAGCCTGATCTACGAGAAACTCCGCGACCCGGTGCCCAGAGCGGATGTGAAAAGCAGCTGGGAGTTTGGCAGCTGCCTCAACATCTGGCTGTGGTTTCCCAACACGGCGCTCACGCCGCGCGCAGGGCTCTTTGCACAGGGGCCCTCGGCGCTGCAGAAGGAGGAGGGGAGCCGGCAGGAAGGAGGCGCCGCGGCC